ATAATAATAATAATAATAATAATAATAATAATAATAATAATGCATAGCAAAACTGAGCATAGCAAAACTGAGCATAGCAAGAAAATCTCATCAGTGGAATCATTGATCTTAGTGTTTTTTAGAGAAAGGGGGGTTGGGATGGAAAATGCGCAAGTGTTTCTTGTTTATCTAGACTAATCAATAATGTTCTTATTATAGACAGATAACTGGTGGCAGGGATATTGTAAAAATAGAATTGGTTGGTTTCCAGGTAAGTTATCTGACTGAAAGAATAATCTAACTAAATAAAATATTCTTGTTTCACGAGGGTAGCATTTAATACCAGCGGATACGAAGTCTCTGACCCTCGTTCTGTGATTTTTGCGGAAGTAGGAAAACTGGAGAACTTGGAGAAAACCCCTCGAGGCACCGAAGAGAACCAACAAGCTCTACTCATACTTGATGCCAAGTCCGAGGCAAAGATGGAACCCATATTTTCTTAACATACACACTTTGTTTTGCTGCATAGTTAATAGAGCGGAATTCCGCTCGATTAACTATGCCTGTTGTTATCAACTATCATCACACCACCATAATATTTACTTTCTTCATTACCATCGCCATTATCACCCTAATCGTCCAGCTTTATTAGAGTTAATGAAATCATCAACTTTTACTTTGAACTGTATAGTATAAACACTAAATGTTTTGCACGTTTCATTTCTTTTTCATTTCATAAGCATCTCATGTTGTCATGGGAACAGTGAAGGCTATTCCCGAATACCACAAGCGCGGCAAGAAGAGTGCTCAGGAAAATGAGTCAGACGCCGAAGAACTAGAAAAAACTCAGGTAGATAACGAATGGTACTTATTTTGATAGACTAACAAAATATATGTTCAAAGAAGCCAGTTACGTATCAATGTGAACTCTTGGCGCAAGGTGCGTTAAAGTCAAAGACTATGATAACGATGCTTGCTTAAACAATCACAAAGCGCGAGACTAATACCTTTTTAAATCAGAATGCGTAAATATTGCACGTTTATCGTTGAAGAATGTTGACAAGGAAATTTGAGGCACGTGGTTGCACCCCAAGAACAGGTTTTGCTACTTTGCTTTATTGGATTACCCAATTAACCAAAACAATTTTCCTCATCGTACGTCCACATATTTCTTATGTTTTAATGATTGATTGTTTTAGGTAACGGAACTTACCACAGAAAAAAGTCTTCCGCCTCCTTTCGTTCCTGAGAACTCGTTCATGAGAGAAAGAGCTTCCACACTTTCCAATCTGCCACCGTGAGTAAATTGATTCCTGTAGAAGATAATCAGATAGTGTATCAATCATTCATGTTAAAGAAATGCGCAATAAAGATCACAGGACTGTTTATGGCTGTGCGCAATAGAGATAACAGGACTATGTTTATGGCTGTGCGCAATAGAGATCCCATGACTATGTTTATGGCTGTGCGCAATAGAGATCACAGGACTATGTTTATGGCTGTCCACAATAGAGATCACAGGACTATGTTTATGACTGTGCGCAATAGAGATCACAGGACTATGTTTATGGCTGTGCGCAATAGAGATCACAGGACTATGTTTATGACTGTCCACAATAGATATCACAGGACTATGTTTATGACTGTGCGCAATAGAGATCACAGGACTATATAACAGGACTATGTTTATGCCTATCCACAACGCTGTTGTAAGCATTGAATATCTTATTCCTATTGAGTTTCTTAACTACTTATTTATATTCATATACATTTTAAACTTTTATTCATTTTTTAACTGAGATGAATTGTATTTTCTCTTAGAGGGACTCCTCCTGTCAGAGGAAGGGTAAGCTAATTTGTATTTTATTTCTGTATTATTCCTATTCTCTTTCGTTTCCATTTCATTAAACATTTTTTCAATAGAATTCCTTCGTTGTGCATTTTAACAGGTGAAGGTCAAGAAATCTGGAAACTGGCGAAAAGAGATATTGGGCGAGATGACGGTCATGAACGCTGAAGAGGTAAGAAGAAATACACCTCATTCCTTGTGGTTCATTGTTTTCCTATTCCAGACCACGTGTCATTCCCTTGAAAATTGCAATCTTTGTTTCAGTTGTATCCTTATTTATGTGTCTTCAGATGCGCAACCGTTAAACAAAGAAATTATAATCTAGGGAATGACACGTGGTCTGTAATGGGAAAACATTGCACCACGACGAATGAGGTCTATACTTTTCTTTCTCATGATGAAATTATATATTGGGGATACTTATTTTTCTAGTTTTATTTTGGTCTATTGTGATCATGTTCAAAGTAATTGTTGATTGTAATTGTTGTTGTGGTGGTGTTGGAGATTGTTGCTATATTACAACACTCATCTTACGACTTTTTTTCTAGATGCGAGAACTAAACAACATCATGCGAGCAGAGCTGCGCACGCCTGTTGGACGATCACGATCCAAAAAACTGGTGAGCTACGCGAAATTAGTTCGCAAAATATGCCACTATACTACTTACGTTATTCAAATATTTCAAGAATCGTGGCCGGAAAGGAGGCAACTCTTAAAACGAGGAGATAAGACCGAACATCTTGATTTTTATTACATAATTTTATTATCTATTTTTATCATATAATTATCCATTAAATACCTATATTTCTCCTTTTCGAAAAACTGATATTTTCACATGTGAAAATATCGTTACCATGTGTATTTAAGCTATTAGTTTATAAATAAAAACTTTTTACAATTATAAAAAGCTTGTTAAGTTGATTTTATRGATAATTACAAGGGCGGATCCAGGGGGAGGGTCGGGGGGTCGTGACCCCCCTGTCATTCCTGAGGTCAAATGGGCTTCTTGTGGTAAAAATGCGACTGGGATTCCTTTGCCCACAAAATTTACCCCTGAGACCCCCCTTCAAAAAAACCCTGGATCCGCCCTTGAATTATATAATAAACAGAATATTACATGGGCGCTTGGAGATACGAAATTTATTTTCTCGTGTTGAAAATCTCTCGCTCGTATGCTGCGCTCACTTGTGAGAGATCTTTTCAACACTCGAAGATAAATTTCGTATCTCCGCACGTCCATGTAATATCCTCTATATAAAGTGGTATTAGTTCATTTATTCTTTATTTGGCATCTTATAACATGAGGTACATTAATTAAGCTAAAAAACSTTCTTTAATGGTAGTGATAATTATGGGTTTTAGTCTTACTTAGGAATTAAATTAGGGTTTTATTTGAAAGAAAATTTTCCTCCCGTCTCCCTGGTGCCTGTCCTCATTCGAAGCCCGGTATTTCAGTAGACTAATAAGTCATTCTTATTAGGAAATAGGAAATAATCAATCATTTATGTTTTTTTTAGAGTACAATTGGTTGGGAAAGCGGAGAAATGAGGTAAGCCCTCGATAATCCTTTGTCAGGATTACTAAATAAAAGATCCTGATGCTAATAATTAAATGTGGTCGCCATTTTTGTTTTATCTTAACAGGGATTCAGTGTTTCTGGAGGAAAACGAGCACATTGATTTAGGGGAAGGTAAGCTAATTTCAGGCTGCACTTAGCGTCCAAAATTTATCAACATTTTCGTGAAAGAGGACCTACACGAAGATTACAGACTTAACTTGTTAAAAGATATTTTGTATGTAAGATTTTATCTCAGAAACTAGAAAGGTTTGATCTAATGTTGTTGTTGTTGTTTTTACCTTCCTTTACATTCCAACTTCTCCTTACATCCCACTATCACCAACATTACAAATACACACTCACACAAGCATAAACACGCACTAAAAATACGCTCATACTTCTTTCCATTATTATTTTTCATATAATTATTTTGATCAAAGGTTCAAGACCAACAAGTGCGCGGTCGATTGAACCCAGACCTTTCTCAGGTCGGTACCATTCTCCAAGTAGTCCCGGCCATGGTCGGAATACAGTTCGACCAATCAGTGATCAGTTACCCTCGTCAAGACATGGTGATCTACCCGAGATCAAATCAAAACCAAAAGTTCCTGACTTGGTAAGTGACGTTCGGCTTCCTGTATATCTATGTCCTAAAGCAATTTATTATATAGATATCGATGAAATACCAGGTTTTCTCTAGTGTCGAAAACTTAATATCTTTCACCAGTGGAAGATACCATATCTTTCACCAGTGAAAGATACCATATCTTTCACACTTGGAGATATCGCTGTTGAATCGGCTTGCTATTTTAATAAAGAATTTTTGAGCTTTTGCTTTATTTAAGTTTCATCGATATCTATATAATAAACAGAACATTACATGGCCACTTGAAGATACGATTTTTATTTTCTCGTGTTCAATTTAGATATCCCACTCGTTCACTGCGCTCACTCGTGAGATATCAATTGAACACTCGAAGATAAAATTCGTATCTCCGCGCGCCCATGTAATATCCTCTATATATATATTTTAATTTAAATCAATATTACTACAGGTTACATCCAATGGACCCTTCTGAAAATTATCTTGCATGCGAGGCTAACATGGAAATACAAAAGAAATGCCACGAATTGCAACTTTTCTTTTGTATTTTCATGTTTGCCTTGTATCCAAGGTAATATTGAGAAGAGTCGGGGACGACTAAGTCTTGGGCATACTATAAAGGTTTTGCACCATCACGTGACGGCAGCCATGTTAGATGGCAGGACCAATACAATAGCTTTACATGAGAAAGAATTCAATTCCCGAGAGCGCAGGGATTTTATTGTTCTGCCATCTAACCACAGGCAGTCCAAGCTGTATTAGGGGCGCCGCCACGTGATGGTGCAAAGCCTCTATATGGTTTTGTAGCCCAGCTCGGGCTGTCGTTCCTAATCGTCAGAGGCTTTGGGTAACCCTACAACCGGAAGCAAGGAATATTGCGACCACGTCCTCACGGTGCTTGCTCGAACTCTTTCCAAGATAAGCCAAAACAAGCATGGACAAGCCTTTGGCTTTGTGAAATCTACAAATGGCGAACAAAAACATTTATTTGTTTTCGCTACCCTCGATTATCCAATCAAAAAGTAGATCTATTGTTCTTCTTAAAAGCCAATCATATGGCGAGAATTTGTAGGGTTTTCCAGAGTCTCTGACTGGGAGGAACGACAACCGAGGAAAATCTGAGAACGAGAATGTTCTGTAGCCGTATTCTCGGATAAGGAGACCGTTATTAGGCTACCAATCGTACCCCATACAGGGTCTGTGATGAACATGTCCTCAGAAGAGACCGTTGCTAAAGAGATTATATCCCATACTGGGTCTGAGATACGTCTGCTTTCATTAATCCTACTCATATTCCCTCATATTCAAGTTCGTTTATAACATCATTTCAAAACAATCTTAAATCAAACAATCAAAACGCAGCTTTTAAAAAGATAGCAGGAAAAAAGAAACCGCATCTCCTCCGGCAGAACAGTCAGAATAMGTCAAAAAGCGACAGTCAGAATATGTCAAAAAATTATTCACGAAGAAGCAATTAACAGCTTTTCTGTCAACAGCAGGAAGAATAGTTGAGAATGTCAAAAACCTTATTGACGATTAAGCAATATGAGACTAATTCTGCACCAAACAGGCAGGAAGTGTCGAGTATAATTACTCTTAAAAGTTACCCTCGCATGTAATGGCATGTACATTTATTTTCTTTCGATTGCATGTTGTTGAATAGGTTTTTATCATGTTTATTGCCTAAATATTCGTATATTTGAATGCAGTTTTTCATGATATAAGTTGGAAATCATTATCTGGCCCGACCCTATAAAATTCCATGTCATTTCCCATTTTCACATTCCTTTCAATGCTTTGCTTTTTTGTGGGGGAGGGTCGAAACACYGCCAGAAAATTAAGCGCGTTTCTCATATCCGCTTTGAAATCAGTAAAAAAGCTGATTATTAGTTTATTCTGAGTTAATATTGCATGTTCCGAAAATCAGAAGAATCGCAGGAAATTGACTTTCAACTTCCCAAAATTCTTTGTTTCTGGTTGCTTCTTATACATCTTCAGAGTTACAACATCTCCTGATCAGTATTCAGTATAACATGTGCGATTTTTTCTCGATGCCCCCTTAAACTGAAATGCATTATGGGAATGTGAATATAGCGAACAAAGAGTGCTACAGTGAATCTCTAGCAACTGTGGGAATGAACATCAATGGAAGATTGTGACTGGCTTAGGTGAATATGATACTGATTTTGCTCTCTCCTGATTGGCTAAAGTTTTTTATCTTTAGTTTTGTTAAGTGCTCCCGGTTAATGTGTCCGCATAGTAATTGGTTCAATTTAACGGTAGTTAAAAATTTTCATGCAATTTGTTTCATTTCTCTCCCAAAGTTTGTCGCTCCTGGCACTCCGACTAGTCGTCGAAAGTCCGAACAACGAAGAGAGTCTCAAAATGTTGTACAACGATTGGAGGTGAAAAATAAACCGTCCCCTCTCCCACCAAAAATGAAAGGCAAACCAAAACCAGATAAAAAGAAAAATGGTGAGATGCCTGATTGGATGGTCAAATTTGTCAATGATAAAAAACTAACTGTCGGTGATGATGTGAAGCTCGATGAGACAAAACAGCAAAAAGGAAGGAGAAGTTCGTCAACTGCGGGGCTATCTACGCGTACTGGGACCACTTCTYCTAAGTCTTCTACGGGTACTGGGACACTGAAAAGTACTACAGCAACAGCCAAGTCTAGGTCTACTGGGAACATACCTAGTGATGTAGAAACAACCCAGGGGAAAAAGAAAAACAGTCCTCAGATTAGGAAAAAGAGTTTAACATCTACTGCTGTGCCTGGGAAAGTGAATGTGTCGAGTGCAACAACGAGTCGCATTTGGGATAATAGATAATGACAAATGAAGAACCTTCTCTACTCGTTTGAGCCCGCAGTAACAACTGTCGCTGCATGTTTCTACATAAGAGTGTCAAGTGCCGCAATGATATTAAATAATGCAGATAAAAGTGATCTGGCATTGTTTTACACAGTGTCCTCAGTTGTTCAGCAGATAATAAAATCAGTTTCTTAAAAAGATTACAACATCTGTTAATCGCTGTGGCTGGATTAGAACGGGCAAATCCATACACTAGGTTTAGGGAGGCTTAGATTTAATTGAAAAAATGAACCCATTATGTTCCATACGGATAACGATAATAATTATAGAAAAGAAATTATCCTGTCTCTTCGTTTTCAATTTCGGTCGAATCGATCCGGCTAGAGCGAGCAGCAGTAATCAAATAGGAAAACCATAATGATAACAATTGATATTCCAAAACTCTAAACGAATAAGCCTGGGTATGCTCCTCTTAAAAGTTATCACGTGGCAAATAACGAAGTCTCGAATTTTCATACAAAGTGTTTAACACCTGTCTTTGTGCCTGGAAAAGAGAGTACACATGCATGCATCGAGCTGGAACCAAGATCAGTCGAGTCATAGAATATTTTATGATAATAAAATCGTTTTTTACRATTTTATGTGGCAGATTATTTAATCTTTTTCAAAAAGAGTTGAACACCTGTCACTGTGCCTAGAAAGGAAAACGTGTCCAGTTGTCCAGCGAATTGATCTTGACAAAAGACAAGGCAAATAATTCTGGGGGTGCTTTGAATATAATATCAGAATGGAATGATAACCAAATCTCGGTTTGTCTGATCGATAAAACAAAGTTTACCACCTGTCAATAAACCTGGAAAAGTTTCGGTTGAAAGCTAGAAAAACAATTGAATTATAAAAAAGATAATCTAATAATCCTACCTCTTGAAAACTTTCAGTGATTTTAAGATTTAAAAAAACTAAAATGTCTTTTGTAAAGAGCACCTGTCACTTAGCTTGTAAAAGCCTGTTCGAGGCTAAGACCGAAAGATAGAGTTTAGTTTCACATTAATCAAGTTCTCCATTCCTCTAAATACGTCTTGACTGCAAATACCTTTCAGATAGAGCGGTCTTAGTATGAGTGAGAAAAGATACTCCAAAATTTTATCCACACCGTAGCCATTACTACAGTATGGCGAACCGTGCATGTTGTTAGTCAGTAYCGCACGTTTCCCACTCCGATACGACAACGCACGGCTCTAGTTGCTCTTGAGGCCCACATAGGGTTATTTTACCTCCTTTGGTATAATAAATAATGGTGTTAACTAGGACAAAAACTGCAAAAGGTTCCAATAGCAGCAATATCAAGAAGTAATAAGAGCAACGGAGAATTTACAAGAACCGAAAAAAAAATTAAATATAGATAACGATATTCCGGATCCCTTGAAATTTTGAATAATATCTTGATATATTTCGTTTCCTTTCTATTCCGTTTTCCATTTTATCAAACATGACTGCCCTGCGGCAACAGATAGAGCCGGAAAACCCCCTATCTTGTTTCTCAATCTATAAATTCAGATTCATATTTTGGATGAATAGTGATTTCGACGCTAAATCTAATTTGATCTATGATTTAGACGTGCCCTGTATTTGATCAGCCCGGAGGCTGTTTCGGGGTTAGATTAAATTGAATTGTTTGGGATTAAATAACAAAGTAACAYGTAATCTTGCAGGCCTCGGTTGTTATTTATTTATTTATTATTATTTTTTGTTTTAAGTACATTCCTGATGACTGAGTAGGAAGCGTAAGTTTCCGATGGCTTTTGCAATGCACCAATAAGAGAGCTAGAAAATCCAAGTCATCCAATTACAGCGTTTTTAAATAATTGAGGAAGACCTTAATTCTTTCAGTTTCTCAAACGGTTTCCCATCAATCATTAAAAGGCGAGAAAAATCAGCTCATCCAATCACAGCCATGGAGCATATTTCTAATACTTCATAGACTTGAAGTATCCAGGAATCTAAAATGGATTCCTAAATGCACCAATCAAAGAATCTGAGTAACTTTAAACCATCCAATCGAAATGCTTGAAATCAACACTATATATCCTCGTGTTAGAATTCCATTTTAACTAGTGTGCAATAGCCTAGAAAACAAAATGGCACGAGTATCTTATGAACCAAGACTTATAGTACTATTTTTGGCTCACTGATCCAAATATAACCAATGATAAACACGTAAGAAGAGGTCACATAATATCAGCTTCTTGTCAGGGAACATGMCGCGTTTGTTTCACTTGCTTAAGTCGCTTCGTGATTCTTGAGATTTTGGCACTAAGACCCAACCTTAAACGGAAATGCTACTTTCATTTACTTAAGCTTGTCTGGTCAAAGATCACGTATGTCAGTATTGTACTTTTGACTATTCGTTATATCTATTTATTTGTTTTTGTCATATTTTTTTAGTGAGGGTGGACAGAACTCTCTTAAAACTATCAATCTAAAAGTGATGCTTAGAGGAAAATAAGAGACAAATCACTCTTTCTCTCGATGGAGATTAAATCGTATTACTTTTGTATTTCCTGTAGCCTACTATGTGTTCAGAGTTAGATTTTACTATATTTCGACACTATTTATAGCTACTATATTTAGGAATTAAAAAATAATCATTGGAAGTTGACGCATCCCCTGACTAAGGGCTGACTGTCAACGTTGGAAAAAATAATCAAAATGAATGTCAAGTCCAAACACATTAACGAAAAAGGCCCCTTATTAAGCCAAAATATAATTATATATTTGTAAAATTGCATTTATTTAATTTACAGTGTAATGATTGACTGACAAAGTTGGCAAGAATCTTTCACAATTGAAGAGCATTGTTCAAACGCAACACTTAACTAGAGAGGCATGTTTAATAATCTTATTGGATGAGCCCTTTAGACGTAGATCAGTAGATATTAAAACTCAAATATGATGTAAAATGTACATTTGTACAAAGCCCACAGGAATCAAAAGGCACTTAAAGAAGTGTAGAAGTAGTATACGAGCTAATACAGGTGATTTCAACAATGAGTTAAGAAAGATATTTCACGCCATGATTGCGTGCACATGCATTTCTACCCATTATTGCAGAGAATAAGTGCTTCATCGTAGAGTGCGGTAGAGTGGATCAAGTGCAGCTCGGGCAGATTAAAGAGATATAAGCAATGGGGTATCTTACTTATCCATGCGCCGGAGACATGAATTACAGCCGTTTTGAGTAAAATAAAATTAGAATAAAATTAGTTTATTTGCTTGCTTGCGTTTTACCTTTTCATTTAAACGAAAGTAGTGAAAAYGAGAAACACTATCTTTACAGTAATATTTAGTAAACGGGTAAAAAAATTAATCACATAAAACCTGTTTTTCTTGTTAGGACGATATTTTACCCAAGTTAACTCGACCATTATGATAAACTGTACGGACATTCAAACTGAATCCATCTAAAGTTACTCTGAATGTAGAGTTAAAACCAAATCCAATTAGGAGAAAGTGACATCATATGAACACCCAATCATAATATTTCATTTCACATTTCATTTTATTTCACAATTTATTCATGACATCTTAGTACTGAATCAGGCTGGCTCCTGATTGGCTTAGGTTAGAATGTTTTATGTTCATTCTTCATCATGATTGGTTATCTTTGTAAGAGTGAACTTATCGGTGAAGTGTCCGCAAAGTAGTAGTCTGATCTAATACGTGTACGCCAAGGAAAAAATCGTTAAAAAATTAATAARTATATGCATGCTGATGCTAAGAAAATTCTGATCTTTTGAGCACATTTAATCCTTCTTTACATTCCATTCCAGTCACCGCATTCCACACTGACGATCGACGTATTTACGTGAGCCATCCACAAGAATAGAAAATGATCTTATTTTTGGCTCCCTGTTCCCCAGAAAAAAATTCTTGAGGACAAAACAATCGAAAGAAGTCAATTGTTCATATAGTGATTATACGAAACAATCGCATTTTTTCGGAGAACTAGGAGCGGGCTTGCGTGCCTTTAGAGACTCCAACGCCCTGTCACGGCTTAACCCTCCACTAAAACTTACGTAAGCTTATCCAGATTACTGTCGGTTGACCGGAAACTACTACAGCTGTTTAATAATGGCAAAAGTTAGTCGTTGAAAGACTATTTTATCAGAATACATATTCGAGACCATGTAGACTGAATGGCGATAGCGCGGAACATTAATTAAAGGCTGGCAGTATGTTTCTTCAGGCTTAGATATGTCTATTACGCACCTACAATAACGTTAAAAATAGTGATTTGATGACTTGGATAAGGTAAAAATAACATGAAATTCCTGTACGCATGCGCAGTAGGTTATCTCATTAATCCTCGACTTGCTGTGGTCATGTCAATTTAATCCCACAAAACCCTTTTATTTTCGTTTGTGCTGAACTTGCTTCGCTCACTTTGATCTCTTTCATAAGCTTCCTTTTTTGAAGGCAATAATTTGCCGAATATTGGAAAATTTTTTTTTTTAGCCATCGGCGGTATTTTTGCTAGATTGAGTGAAAACATATGGTATGCATGAATGAAACGTCTATCAAGAAAACAGTTTTATATCAGCTGATCAAAAATGACAAGCCTAAACTGAATGAAGAAAGACTAATTCTGACTTCTTCTTTTGAATTTGGTTTTAAAAGAATTCCTCTCCGTGGGTTACTATAGCACAGAACTCAGTATAACCATGACTAATTTGAATAGGTATTTAAAAGGTGATGTCACCAAATGCAATCAGTATTATTCAACCAAATGTTCCTGTATTTACCGGGTTTTAATATTTACAGGGAAAAGTTGTCAAATCGTCCTTGCTATGTCAATCAGTTAGTGGTCGATGTTGATGGCGTTGCTTAGCAACGCGATAGGTGAAGGGTAAGATTCAYTGCCGCAAGGAGTTAAGCGGTGTGTATTTAGCTTAAGGTGAGAGATAAAAGAGACTAAAACATCGTTTTATTGGGAGAGCGTAAGAAACTTTATGCCAGTAAGTATAGTTGAAAGAAAGCACCTGGACCAAGTCATTCATTCAACTGTACACCAAATACTTAATTAATCACGGATTGATCAAACCTTGGAATTTCTAATGCGTGGTTTGTGATCAACAGGGACGCGATCAAACAGGTAAGCTTTTGCCAAAATCACTGAAAACACCACTAATATAGCATCAGTATGTTACATATTTAAATCTCCGAAGAAATGTGCTACTTAAGTAATCGAAAAAAGTATGTTTCGTACCTTTATATTTCGGGTGCGGTAATGGAAAAAAATTGGACATTTTAAATAGCTATTCAAACGTAATTATGAATAATTCGTTTCACCAGAAAAAGATAGTTTACTCTGTAGATATTTGTAGAATATTTGTCACTTGGACCTAAATACCTTGTAATCTGATGTAGAAACTCGAAGATATAATGGCACGTATTTGACCATCCATGTACGCATGTTGCCATTGGTAACCAGAGTCGTTGCGTGCTGAAGCCAACTGGTTGGTAACTTGAATGCAACTTGAACGTCGGGTTTTTGTCCTTAGGATAATGCAATTTGATATGACTTTAGACCATTTAAAAGGCATCAATGGTAATATATATAATCAGTAATAATTC